CCAGCCTTAAAAAAGGTAGGCTTACTGGGGTTGTGGAAATGTTCTACATCTTTATTGTGGTTGTGGTTACAAGGGTGTATAACATTTGGCAAAACTCATCGAACTCTACATAGTCAAAATCTGTACATATAAGTTCTACCTCAATAAAAAGAGAGCATTCAGGGGCAGAAAAAAGGGTGGGCCTCAGAGGAGAGCCTTTGGCCGGCCACAGTGACTCGAATCTCGGATTTAGTAACTTTTATTTTTATTGTGTTTTTACCCTACCTTCTATTTACGGAGGTGACACAGATTTTCCATTTGTGGTAGTGGTATAAAGTTTCCTTTTAAAATTAAAAAAGTACTGTGTGAGTGAATTTAAATATAGAAATATTAAGTAAATAATATTTACCGGTGGTACATGGATATCGCAAAGATCATGCACGGGGTAAAAAGAGCAAGATTTTTGGGAACCCTTCTGAAAATCTGGCGGTTCTAAGATGAAACTCATGTCACCCAGTGGCTGTGTGGGCGTGGCCGTGACCCCGAGGGGCTGGCTGTGAGGGGGACAGTTGTGTAAGGAGGGAGAGCTGAGAATCCTAGCTGCTTATAGAAATGTGTTCACAATGAGCCGTGCGTCTGGGATATTCGCTGTCAAACACCCAGAGAGCCGAGAATGGAATGATGATCGATTACCTTCACATTCCCTGCTTGCTGTGAAACTTTCAGAATCTCGAGAGGAAAAAGAAAACGGAAAAAACTCTGCTGCTTGGATTAATTAAAACCAGCGTAAATGCTTTGGATGCTTTTGCTCAGCAAACGGGCCTTTCTGTTTGGCGTTGCTGCCAGCAAGTGTGAGTGATGTGTGTTTTCATGGCGGAGTTTCTGTGACTGTTCACGTCAGGCCTGAGGGGGTGTTTCTGATGAGATGTGATGCAGTTCATCTGATAAGGCTGGAATTTTTGCTAAGAGACTTTTTGTGGTTTGTTGTGCTGGTTCACAGGGTAGTGGATTATCAGAATGTTGTCTGATATGGATTTGATGTTGAACTCTCGCTAGATTAAAATTCTACACTCTGTTACCTGCCAGGAAGGTGTGTGTGTGCGTGTGTGCGTGTGTGCGTGTGTGTGTGTGTATGCACATAGATACAAGTTGTGATCGATTGCCTCTTCATAAGAACTCAAGACCCTACACACCCCAGCTAGAAAAATCAAAGGATTTCACAGCCAGAAGTGACCAAGGAAACCGATCTAGTTTAGTGCTGTCCTATAAATGGGAAGGCTGAGACATAGAGCCGGTGGGGGACTTTTCCAAGGTCACACAGCTAGGTAGTGGCAGAGTAGGACTAGATCTCAATTTCCTGCTTCTGAAACGAGGGTGTCATTACCGTATATCCTGTCATGTCACCCCTATGCCCCACCACGTTTAAAATAAAATAAAACATGTTTCTTTTGGGAATTGTATTTCTTTTCTCGAGGTCATACAGAAGTCAGTCTCCTTTCTGCCATGCTTCTGCTGCCTGATTACTTAGTTGCCCTCCCTGGAGGAAGTCACTGTTACTGTAACTTCCAGAGAGAGCCTGTGTACGCAACCGCTATGTGTGTGTGTGTGTGTGTGTGTGTGTGTGTGTACCTGTGTATACATTCCTCTATCCTGTTTTTATACTGTGCATGCTGTATGTACCTTGCTTTTCTCCTTTGACACTGTATCTTGTCATTCCAGATCAATGCAGAAAGAACTTTTCCAACCCTTTATCTAGCAGCATTGTATCCCATTGTATGAACAAACCAGAATTCAACCCACCCCCAGCTGATAGACATTAGGTTGCTTCCAGTCTTCTGGGATGACAAACAGGGCAGTTTTTTTGTTTTTTTTTTTAAGATTTTATTTATTTGAGAGAGAGTGAGAGTAAAAGAGAGCACAAGCAGGGGGAGGGGCAAAGGAAGAGGGAGAAGCAGACTCCCTGCTGAGAGGGAGCCTGATGCGGGACTCGATCCTAGGACCTTGGGATCATGACCTCAGTCAAAGACAGATGCTTAAATGACTGAGCCACCCAGGTGCCCCCAAACAGGGCAGTATTAACTAATCTTAGGCACACTTCATTTGGCACATATGAGGGTTTAGCTGCAGGATAAATTTCTAAAGCAACATTGTTTGGTTCCAAAGATACGTGTGTTGGAATTTTGATAGATATTACCAAGTTACCCTCTGGAGGTTATATCTTTCTCCCTTTTGGTTTGGATATTAACATCTTTGCGTAGCAGTTTAAATATTTCATATAGACTTTTGTGAACTCACTTTTAAAAAAATCATTCAGCCAACCAACACGTATTTTTTTTGGCGGGGGGGGGGGTTCCTGTCCAAGTGCTGGGAATACATTAGGGGGTGAAAGAGTCCTCATAGAATTTCCTGTTGTAGGGGTGGAGCTGGAGGTTGGGAGAGAGGCAGGCAATAAACAACTAAATTCAGAATTACTTAATTGGAATTTTGGGAAGTGTATGGAGCAGAACAGAGAAGCGTGAGTGGGCTGTAATTTAGCCAAGGAGACCAGGAAGCCTTCCCCAGCACATGACACTTTAGCTGGAAGGAATGAGTAGTTTAGTCATGTAGAGAAGGGACTAAGGCACCACACACCTGGGTGTGGTGGGGGGAGGAGCTGTTGTGACAGAGGGAACGGCAAGCGCAAAGGTCCTGAGGCAGAAAAGGAGGTAGGTGCTTTCTAAGAACAGAAAGACAGCCAGTTTGGTTGGAGTCCAGGGAGAGATGTGGGAGGGCAGAGAGAGGCGAGGCCAGAGGTGGCTGGCCGGGCCTGGCCAGGCTGGCCTAGTTGAGGTTGTTCATCTTTACCCTAAGAGCTGTGGGAAGCCATTTCTGGGCTCTCGCCTGGGGTGGGGGCACCATCTGGACCTCATGAGATCAGCTCAGCTAAGGCAGGCAGCATGTAGTCCAGGATGGTCCAGAAAGGGCACCAGGGGGTTGAGGATCATCTATGTAGCCACCTCGGCTCCCCAGGGCAAGGGCCCATCACACAACTTTAAGAAGAGTTCCCATTTCTGGCTGGCTGGACCTTGGGCATGCTTCTTCTATTGTTTGCTCACTCGCTCAGCAGACGTTTATGCACAGCCTATGCTAGGTGTCCGGCAAACAGTGCTGAGCCTCAGTAGATGCGGTTCCAGAATGGTAGCATGGTGTCTGGTGCGTGGGTTGCAAACTTCTGTAAAGGGCCAGATGATCAATATTTTAGGTTTTGTGAGCCATAGACTGTCGTAACTATCAACTCTACTATTGTAGTGCAAAAACAAGCCATAGACCATAGGTAAACAAATAGGTGCATGGGTGCATTCCTATAAAACTTTATCTACACACACAGTCTGTGGGCCGGATTTGGCCCAGGAGCTGCAGTTTGCCTGCCCCTGATCTATCATGATGAGATTCCCTCAACACATAATACCTGATGTGTTGTGAGCTGGTAACAGGTGTTAGCAGAGAAAAGATGGCAGGGGAAAAGGGCAGAGAATGAAAGACACGGGAAGAAATTAAGGGAAGCAGCCATGTGAAGATCTCGGGGGGTAGAGTTTCCAGCAGAATGAACAGCACTCAAGAACTTCAAGGCGGGAGCTACTTGAAGAATAGCGAAGGGGTTAGCAGGGCTGTTGCTGAGTCAGGGTGGGAAAAAGTGGGGAGGTACGCGTGGCGAGATGGGCCAGGGCTCAGGGACAAGTGTGTTAAGGACTTTGGATCACATCTGGGGCAGCTTTTAAAGTTTTGCAGATGGGCGTTTCGAGAGGCTACCGCGTGGCGAACAGACTGAAGGGGGCGAGGGTAGAAGTGGGGAGCCCGGGGGGGAGGTGAGTAGGTCCAGGTGAGAGAGGACGGCTCGTGGCTTAGGGCAGAGGGGTTGTGGTGGAGAAGGAGACACGCAAGCCTGTGGCTTATGTTTTGACAGTAGGGCCATCAGGATTTGCTGTGGATTGGATGTAAGGTGTGTGAAAGAGAGGAGTCAGGCTGACCCACGCCCCGACAGGGCGCTGGATGAGGGTCAGGGTGGCGGGGAAGAACAGCTCCTTCCCTCCTCATTCAACCCGCTCTCCAGCGTGGGTCCTTTCGAGGTGGCAGCCGAAGGCCGCTACTAAAGAAAGATGAGATCTTTCTGCACCCCCTGTTTTCAATAGCTTGAGAGACTACAGAACCATGGCTCTGCCTTTTGAGGGCCAAGGGGCTTGTCGGTGGGATTTCTCATCTTGCAAATTCTGTGTCTTTGGGTGAATCTCGTCCCCTCCCTGGGCCCCAGCTTCCCCATCTGTAAAATGGCACAAGATGAGACGTGACTCAGGAGTCCTTGTTCTAAATTAAGCCAGTATTTACACAAGGGTGTGAAAGGCTGGGATTTGAACCCAGAGCCCCTTGGACGCCAGAGCCGGTGCAGTCTCCCCCTGCGTCCTGTGGCCGTACCATATATGCAGAATGATGACGTAAGCCAGGTCAGTGGTTTCTAAACTGTGGGTCATGACCCACTGGTGGGCCGGGAAATCTGTCGAATAAGTTATGACCAGCATTTAAGCCAAATAGCCCCAGATAAGAGGAAAGAGAAGAGTGTATTGTTTGTAGCAGGGTAAGTATTGTTTCGTGAAGCTTTTGTTTCAGTCTCCAGTAAATACGGTGTGAGCTGAGTTGTGAAATGAAATGAATCTCTCCCAAGGGTTCCACAGAACCACAAGTTTGGAGGCCACGGGCCCAGCGCGTCCCGCATGGCTTGGATGAGCTGTGCTCTGTGCACCTGCGCTAAAATCTTTCCGCTTTGGTCTCGCTCTTCGAGGAATCTGGGATGAAGTGGCCTCCCTTTCCTCTGGCGAGGGAAGGAGGCTCCAGCTTGGGGTTTGGTGTGGTGGGGATTAGAAAAAACAAAAACAAACAAACAAACAAACAAAAAAACCAGGAGACAAAACCCAACCTGTGATTGCTCTGCATGGGAGTTCTGTTTTAGAGGCTTAAAAAGACCCCTCCCTCCCCCCTTCTCTTTCCAGAAGAACCGAATGCACATAAGGTCGCCAGCCCACCCTCCGGACTCGCATATCCCGATGAAGTCCTGGACTATGGCCTCAAGCCATACAGCCCCCTCCCCAGTCTCCCCGGCGAGCCCCCCGGCCGATTCGGAGAGCCCGATAGGGTAGGGCCGCAGAACTTTCTGAGCCCGGCGGCCAAGCCAGCGGGGGCCTCGGGCCTGAGCCCTCGGATCGAGATCACTCCATCTCACGAACTGATGCAGGCAGGGGGCCCCCTCCGCGGGAGAGACACTGGCCTGCTGGGGGAGCAGCCGGCCCTGGCCGGCGCGGCCGCCAGCCCGCGGTTCACGCTGCCCGTCCCCGGCTTCGAGGGCTACCGCGAGCCGCTTTGCTTGAGCCCGGCTAGTAGCGGGTCCTCTGCCAGCTTCATTTCCGACACCTTCTCCCCCTGCACCTCGCCCTGCGTCTCGCCCAATAACGGCGGGCCCGACGACCTGTGTCCCCACTTTCAAAACATCCCTGCTCATTATTCCCCCAGAACCTCGCCAATAATGTCACCTCGAACCAGCCTTGCTGAGGACAGCTGCCTGGGCCGCCACTCGCCCGTGCCCCGTCCGGCCTCCCGCTCCTCGTCGCCTGGTGCCAAGCGGAGGCATTCGTGTGCCGGGGCCTTGGTTGCCCCGCTGCCCGGAGCCTCACCCCAGCGCTCCCGGAGCCCCTCGCCGCAGCCCCAGGACGACGGTGCCCCCGCTGGGTACCCCCCCACGGCTGGCTCTGCCGTCCTCATGGATGCCCTGAACAGCCTCGCCGCGGACTCGCCCTGTGGCATCCCCCCCAAGATGTGGAAGACGAGCCCGGACCCGTCGCCGGTGTCCGCCGCCCCGCCCAAGGCCGGCCTGCCCCGCCACATCTACCCGGCCATGGAGTTCCTGGGGCCCTGCGAGCAGGAGGAGGGGAGGAGCTCAGCCCCCGAGTCCATCTTGCTGGTGCCGCCCACCTGGCCCAAGCAGCTGGTGCCTGCTATTCCCATCTGCAGGTGAGCGGGCCCGGGAAGCGGTGTGGTCCACGGTTTACTTTTAGGGGACTTTTTCTGGTTAGGGGGCGCTAGACAGAGTTCACGTCCTGGCTCTCGGCTTATTGCCTGTGAGGCCTTGGCAAGGAAGTTAAATTCTCCGAGCTGTGGTTTCCCCATCTGTAAAATGGGCCTGAGGGTACCTAACTCACCAGGTGGTGGTCCTGACGATGCAAGCGATCGCTGGTAGGGCACCTGGCTGATTCATTTCATTCACGGAACGGGTGTTTATCAGACACCTGCTTTGGGCCAGGCACGCACTGTTACAGGTGTTGGGGAGCCGGCGGTGAACAAAATGGGCAAAAATTCCTGTCTTCAGGGAGCTGACATTCTGGGAAGCACAGAGCAAGCCTTAATGTGTGGAATTCACAGTCCTCTTATAAGAGGACTTGATGATTGTTGGTATCTGCTAGTGCCTCTGTACTGCGGTCAGTGATCCGGAGGTCCTAAAAAAAGAAAGTGTGAGCCCTAATCCTCAAGGAGCTTAAAATAGTGGTAAGCTGAAGAGATGCATGTAGATGGTCTGTAGGGTCTGTCGATTCTGGATCTGAGTCCTGGTTCTGCCGCTCACCGGCTGTGTGATCTGGTGCTGCCCTCCTGCTGTGCCCGTGGCAGGCGTCACTAATCATGCCGGCCCTCTTTCTCACTGAGCACCTTTTTGATGCCATTCCCAGGGCAGGCATTGCTAATCAATCAGGACCCCCCCTTTCCCACTGAGCACAACACTAAACCTTGGCTCATTCCCTATGAGATGAGGATAATAATAGTCCCACCTCAGCATGGTTTTTTGGTTTTTGTTTTTTTTTTGCAAGGATTGGGTGAGAGGATATATATCAAATTCTTGGCATGGAGCCTGCACAAAGTAAGAGTGCAAAAAAAAAAGGGGGGGGCAGCCATTATTTTTATAGGAGAATTGTCTTATTATTATGGGGGAAGCACTTTAGAGAGTGCTTTCTCATCAATGAGACTTGTCCTAGAAGATTGAGCTCTCAATGGTTGTTAGAGGAATGATAGTTGACAGTGATAATCACCAGTATTTAAGGATGCTTGCTGTGAGCCAGGCATGATCCTAAGTATTCTGTATGTACTATTTCATTCTTATATAAACCTGGCTGGTATTATTTTTTATTTTTAAAAGATTTTATTTATTTCAGAGAGAGAGTGTGTGTGCACAAGCAGGGGAGAAGGGCAGAGGGAGAGAGAGAGGCAGACTTCCCACTGAGCAGGGAGCCCGATGCAGGGCTCGATCCCAGGACCCTGGGATCGTGACCTGAGCCGAAGGCAGACGCTTAACGACTGAGCCACCCAGGCGCCCTGTAGGTTCTTTTTTAAAAAATTTTATTTATTGTATTTATTTTTATTATTTTTTAAAGATTTTATTTATTTGAGAGAGAGAGGAAGTGCATGAGCAGGGGGAGGGGCAGAGGGAGAGGGAGAAGCAGACTCCCCTCTGAGCAGGGAGCCTGATGTGGGGCTTGATCCCAGGACCCCGGGATCATGACCTGAGCTGAATGAAGGCAGATGCTTAACCGACTGAGCCACCCAGGCGCCTCTTTTTTTTTTTTTTAAGATTTGTTTATTTATTTTAGAGTGGGGGAAGGGGCAGAGGGAGAGAATCTTCAGTAGACTCCCCGCTGAGCAGGGAACCCCTCGTGGGGCTCCATCCCAAGACCTCACGAAATCATGACCTGAGCTGAAACCAAGAATCGGATGCTCAACTGACTGAGCCACCCAGGTGCCCTGGGGCCCTAGATTCTTCAAAGCATGTTTGTTTTTAGCAAATGGAAACTTTTTTTTTTTTTTTTTTGGCAAATATTAAATTGAATACCAAAACAGATGGTGGTAGAGCTGTTTCGACTGACGGGATGAGAGTAGACAAGAGCTCTGTCCACCGGGCCTTGCTTATTCCACCCACAGACTGACCTGGACCACGGGGAGCTTCAGTCTGGCCCCTCCTCCAGAACAGTTCTGAGAACACTGGTGCCATGATAGGTTGATTGTGTTCCTTAAAAAAGGAGTTTCTGAGTTTAACAGAGTTAAACAGATATCTTGATGCAGGGGCCACTCCCAGCTGTGGACAGAACAGGCAGTGATTTCAAAGGCCATTTGGCCGTGGAGTTACGAGTTCTGTGACCAAAGTTGTATGGAGCCACCTTAGGAAATGCTGATTAAGGCCAACCCTGGTTCAGGTTGAGAAACCTAGGTTTGGCGAGGTGAGGGGACATGCCCAGGCTCACCCAGCTGGTTAATGACTGCGTTGGAAACTTAGAACCTCGGGTTCTTGACTTCTCCTTGTTCTCTCTGCTACAGATCAGTCTCCAGAATGTGATTCAGGTAATGACTGAGATTGGAGAAGAACATTGGCTCAGTCATTAAGTGTCTGCCTTTGGCTCAGGTCATGATCCCAGAGTCCTGGGATCGAGCCCCACATCAGGCTCCCTTGTTCCTTGGGAAGCCTGCTTCTCCCTCTCCCACTCCCCCTGCTTGTGTTCCCTCTCTTGCTGTGTCTCACTCTGTCAAATAAATAAATAAAATCTTAGGGAAAAAAAAAAAGAAAAAAAAATAGGATCATGCTGCATATGTCTGAGACTTTACTGTTTATAAAGACTTTATCATTTCTCCTTCCATCTCCATTCTGTGGCTGGATCTGAATGCTAGTAGCTCTGAATGCTAGTAGAGTACTTTAGTCCCTACAAGTGCTAGCTTGTGCCAGCCGAGGAGATATTTGTAAGAATCTTCTGTGAGATAGAGAGGATAGGGTGTTCAGGGAAGTCTCATGATAATATTTGTCCCAGGGTGTGCAGAGCAGAGGGCTGAAATTCACCTGCAGCATTTCACATTGGCTCTGATGGTCTAATTCTTAAGACTGTAATGAAGTCATCAAAGACTTATTCTGGAACCAAGGAAAATTTGAAGTTGATACTTAGAGATATCCCACTGGATCTTCTACTCCTTGATTTTTTTTTTTTTTTTGATACTTCAAAAGATAATATAGGGGTGAAGTGATTTTTTTATGAGCTTTATTTTGCAAACTTAAAAAAGTTTCACTTGCATACGTAATGAGAGTACAAGTATTTGACACACACAGCATCTTGGCTGCAGGCAGAAGCTGAAGGCATGTTGGCATTGAAACTAAGGTGGACACTAAGGATAAGGGGGGCTTCGGGAGGCAACTAGTTGCAAAGAAGAGCTGGAGCTTTGCTTGCATAGTGAGGATATAATTTTAAGTTGGATTATATGGTCAAGTTGGGCTCCAGCAGTGATGGAGTTCATGGGGTGCCACTCCCCCGCATCTCCCCTTGGTACTGCTGTGATGGAGAAGGGATGGAATTGGTTTCATTGCAAATGCTTAACTAAGTCCAGTTGATAATGTCAGCTTTTAGCAGCTCTGGGCTTGTTTAGTGGAAAAGAAGGTGCTGATTGGATTAACGATTGGTGCCATATGTGCAAAATCAGGACACAGTGACACAAATCCATGTATTTGCAACTTTGAAGCTACTTTGATTTTTTTTTTAAAGATTTTCCTTATTTGAGAGAGTGAGAGAGAGAGCATGAGAGTGGGGAGAGGGAGAAGCAGACTCCCCACTGAGCAGGGAGCCTGATGCAGGACTCAATCGTGGGACTCCAGGATCATGACCTGAGCCAAAGCTGATGGTTAACAGACTGAGCCACCCAGGTGCCCCTGAAACTACTTTAAATATAAGGGCTTCTTTGAAATAAAACTGCTCATTTATTCATTCATGTATCCATCCAGCCATCTACCCATCTACCCACTGAATAGTCACTGAGAACCTATCAAATGTCAGGTATTGCTCTAGAGTCATTCTATAAGTGAGAGATTTTCTTGGCCCTATTTTAAATAAATTAGTAAGATAAGAGGTAGTGTAGACATGTGCATGGAGCACTGGACCAAGAGTCAAGACATATAAGTTGCGGCCTTGGCGTGTCTTGCTTTGTAATCTTGGGGAAATGTCTATGTTCTCTGAGGCTCTGAAGGAATAGTTTAGATAGATCATTAAGGCCTCAGTCAACTCTTAAATGACATAATTCTAACCATATATCAAGTACCTGTTGGATGTGCTGGGTAGGTTTAAGATTCTATAGAGGGGCGCCTGGGTGGCTCAGTCATTAAGCGTCTGCCTTCGGCTCAGGTCATGATCCCAGGGTCCTGGGATCGAGCCCCGCATTGGGCTCCCTGC